CCCTCCCGCCCACCCAGGCGGAGCCTATGCTTCTACTTATGGAGCCAATTACGGATACTAGGCTAAGATGAGATACATAGAGACTATCATTAAGAGGGAGACCCTAATATGTTTTTGTTGAAGGAAGAACATTCTAAGATGATTTTTTAGGTTCTACTTTTTTATTTTTGAATTTTTATGTTGTACACTAGCTGGCTTCTAGTATTTACTGTTGTTTTGCTATCAATAATTATCACTGTAGTTATTTGGTGGGCCTGTGTTGTTTGTTTACGATGTTATTATTAACTTGGGGGCGGTATTACCTATTAGTTGCTTGTTTGTAAGATAAACTACAGAGCTGTTTCATTGTGTAGCATCAAGAAAGTGGTATGTTGCTAGCCTAGAACAATTTGCACGGTGCATACAGCGCCTTCTTAGAGCTGTGATGTTGGCGATGGCGGTACACCGGTTCTCTAGTTGGTGTTATACTGTTGGAATTATCCATCTCCGAGAGTAGTATTTCTATGCATATTTTTTTCAAGCAGTATTCGCGATGTTGTGTTTGGATGTCTAACGCGGGGCGTTTAATCTGATTACGCAAAATTTGAGGGAGCGCAATGTTCCCTCTCTTGAGTAAAAAAAAAGAGTAAACGTGGCAACTGTTCCATTCAATTAGCTTGTTTGACTGTTGAAAACGGTTGACCTGTACACACGTCAGCTTGTGGTAGCGCAGCCTGTTGCACACTGGCTAGTTTTTGGTTATCCTATTAAAATTTTCACTCCACGACCCAAGAAAACATGCCATCCATTCTCTACCCCTCGCTCTCTCCCACCGATAATAATATACCCAATCAGGAAACAAAGGGAGATGGGCTGCAACAGCAACCAAGATCAAATGATGATGAGTAACCATCGCCTCTTAGTCAAATCTTCATCTTCAATTAGTTTCTTGATTAATCAATTGTTGCAACATTGAAGTGCACTGTACTGAGTACGGATTCGGCACCAACGGAGCGTTCAGTTGCGAGCCTCAGAAATGCCACGGCCACATCAAGTTCGTCCACTCCATCAACATATATCGGCGAAACCACGATGAGATCCACGAGATATATGGAGGAGGAGCTGATCGCCATTTTATCGACGGAGTGTGCGGCTGACTGCTTCCATTCTTTCGTCAACAATTCCAACCGTTTCAAACGATCATCTGTGCTTGGCTCTCACCAGTGGCGAGATATCAGTGCTCTCTTGGACCGATACTAGGCGTTTCAATTTTTGTACGTGATCAATTTGATATTAATCGATTTTTACGATATAACATGCTTGATTATTTACGATGGGTTTTGTTGTACCTTAAAAATTACTAAGTATAATGCACCCCCTCTTAGGCAGCCACGTGTCATACTTAACAGGCCTACCTTCCCCAAATCAAAGAACCCGACCCGGGTACACACATAGCTGACCTGTTCACAAAGATGCAGATCCGAGACGGAAGGCGTCTTCAGATCGATCTCTCAGCCGCACGTCGAATTGACCGATCAGCTTCACCGTGCGTAGGTACGTAGTCCGGTCACCCTCGCATTTCATGCATGGTCAGGGTCACTATGACTTCCCCGTTGGTGTCATAATGACTCCTCGGACAACGCCAGCACTTTACCTACCCTGCCACCGTCGCATTAAACGCGAGAATGACTTGCTCGCTTTGTGACCGACACGTCAAGGCACCATCTGATCAACACTCGGCCCCGACCGTGTCCAATTACCAAATAGTACCCCACAGATTGATATAACTAGGAATGATTTCTTCTGCATGAAGGTACGAGTAATCTGGGATATATAATAGTCTCAAACCAAATTTAGCATTTCTAGACCACTCAATTTGTAATTGACTTGAGCGTCGGAGGGCCCATCAGAGAACCCAACTCTGATCCTCTGACGGTGCTATTGTATGCATGATTCTTTGTTTGCAATCATAGTCAGCCATCAAAGGAGATAAAGAGACCGTAAACTCCTCCAAAACCATAATTAATCTCTTTATTTACTGATTGGCATCAATAGATTGGCCTCTTCTTCTTCTTTTGAGAAAATTGCCGATCATGGCCGGTCCTCAATTCCAAACCCCAAAGAAGTTTCCAACTCCAGCTATATATCACCCAAGCGCAATTAGATGAGTTCAATAAACAACTAGCTCAGTCTATTCAGTAGTAGTTCGTTTCACTTACAAACAAACTCATCAGCCGCATTCTTCCTCACTAGCCTCCTTCATCACCTGCTGTTATTCCTCACGAAGAGCAGCACCGACGGCAGGACCAAGAAGAGTGGGCTAGGAAAGTTACTCGAAAGTTACTCCCTTAACACATCAACAATAGAATCATTTTTCTACCGAACCATTGCAGTCCAATTATAACATGGAGGCAACTGGCGAGAGGCAAGCATTAGCCCTATTCAGGCCACATAGTGACATCGCTAAGCTGTTGAGACTTACCTACACGACTCAAACCCGATAACAAGGGCCAACCCCTCCACGATCAATTTAGCTTTTGAATATGATCGAACGTTCCACGTGGTCTCCAATGTTATTGGTGGAAACACTCCTCTTGCCAATTGGATTATGAACACTCTCTGCCTAAAGTTTAAGATGCCATCCATTGAGAAATATAAGGGTGAAGGTGATACCGACGAACACGCATAAATTTTTTATGATTTAATGTGCATGCAACAAGTGAGCAATCCAATCATTTGCTGAGCCTTCCCCCATCACTCTCAGTGGCAACGTGAAGATGTAGCAGAACTCATTGGACAAGAAGTCCATCCACAGCTTCAAGAAACTAAGGCAGAAGTTTGTACATTATTTTCTGGTAGATACAATGCCCTCCTCTCCTGCTACAAATTAGACAGAGACCAGAAAGACTTGAGGGAGTATTTTAAGAGATTCCAAGCCAAGGTTAGGGAAGTGGAGGACCCTAACAACATGGTCACCATCGTTGTGATCATCGGGGGTCTCGAGGGCTAGAAACTGTATGATTCTCTCATTATGAACTATATAAGTAACTAACTTGACCAACTCATGGCCAGAACTCGAACTCATATGGATGCCGAGGATAGCCGCACTCACAAGAAGGTGGCATGATTAGAAGCTGCTGGGGTCTGGTCCTCTCAAAATAAGAAGGCTGAAGATAGCCAGCCCAATTCAGAGTCCCGACCTGGTGGGACTGATAAAAACAGACCAAAAGGAAGGAGACAGTGAGGAATCCAGCGCTTGCCTAGTCAGCTCTCCTCTCTCACAGATGCTACATTTGATTAAGAAAGAAGGACATCTCATTGACCCTCCACCTTGTATGAAGTCAAACCCTTAGTCAATGGATATTTGATAATACTGTCCTTATCATTGAGACCACAATAACAATACCAATGATTGCAGAATTCTACAATAAGATATTGAAAAATCTCATTCAGAAAGGTTTGTTGAAGAAGTCTTCCCCCAGAGATAGAGAAAAACCAACCCTAAGAAGATTGGAAAAGAGAAGGTCTCGATCGAGGTCACCTCACCCGAATAAATAGAATGATCATCTCGTAGAAGCCAAAGATAAGGGCACCATTAACACTACTAGTGACAGGCCACTAGCAGGAGGAATGTCAAATAATGCTCGGAAACAGTACGCCCGACAAGTATTGAAACCGAACCTTTGTGAGAAGAAGCCCAAGACAGATCAACCTATCTCTTTCAACAATGATGATTTGAAAGGCGTGGACACACCCCATGATGATCCCATCATCATCTCGGTGTAGATCAATAGCTTTCGAGTCAAAAGAATCCTAATAGGCACAGAAAGCTCTGCTGATATCCTATTCATGGCGCCTTCAATCAGATGGGGGTTGATAAATCAGAGCTACACCATGTGCGAGTCCACTCATAGGTTTCTCAGGGCACTCGACGGCCCTGAAGGGTCAGCCACCTGTAAGCTGTTACATCATCTTAGGAAGGACTTCTTTCAACGACCTGTAAGCTGTTACATCCACCTTGCCAATCAAGAAGTCCCAAGCTTATCTATATCTATAGGAGGATGAAAAAAAGGAATGTACTACTCTCGTCAAAGAGTTGGAAGAAATTCAACTCAGTACCGATAAAACCAAAAAGGTTAAGATCAGGCCGGAGCGAGCTGGTTATCACATTTTATTACACTTTTATACCCTTATTTTCTATTTTATTTAAATAAATATATCACTAATAATGTGTTTTTCTCTTAATCTACAGGTGTAGGTTATCTAAAAATCACAACAGATAGCTAATCCCTATCAAACACCGATGATGGAAGTTACAATTCGACGGCTTCCACAAGACTACACTTTGAAGACTTTCACGTAGATCGATGAAGGTTATAATCTGACGACCTTCACAACAACTGATAAAAGCTATAATCAATAGTCTTCATAATCAACTATGAGAGTTACAATCTAACAACTTTCACACCCCAAAATAGCCAAGGCAAAGATCACTGAACAATGGTCTTTTGTAACATTTTACAGAAGAGGTTACAGATCACTAGCCCCTTCTAAACGCAGAGTTTACCTGTGCGTGTTAGTTTTTGAAACACAGGCAACCGGTGTGTTTTCCACCTTCAATCAAACGAAATGTAAAACGGCCCGTGCGTTTCCGGCCGTGCGTTTCCCATCTTCAGTAGATACCCAACTCTGCATCTCATGTCTAAGACACAGAGTTAAGACCCAGAACACAAGCGTCCTGTGTGTTTCAATCATCCGCAGATACCCAACTCTGCGTCCTAAGTCTGAGGCGCAGAGTTAAGACCCAAAACGCAAGCGGCCATTGCATTTTCAATTCTTAGCAAGCACCCAACTCTGCGTCTCAAGTCTAAGACGCAGAGTTAAAGCCTGTAATACTGATTTAGGCGTTTGACTTGTTCAAACACAAACTGAACAACCTCAAAACCGTTTACCGCACATTTTGAGGGATTTTTGCCCACTTAGGAGTGGATTTAGGGGTTGGTAACACCCCTTACCCCCTATAAATAACCGCCTTACTCAACCGAGTAAGAAGAGGTAGGATTTTCTGGGGATTCTTAGAGATCAAGGGTGGATTCTCTTGGAGATTGGAGTTTTCGGCTAGATTTTGAAGACCAAATCTTCTACAAGATCAGCTAGAGAGAGTTATTGGCAGTGAGAAGATCAAATCTTGGAGGATCTTTCAGCAACAGAAAACCTACTTGGTTATTAACCGATTGTTCAGTTTCAACAACTCTTTTTATAAAGTTTTCAACTCGCTCTGAATTACAAAACTCGTTAAGAGATCTTAATTAAACTTGCAACGCAAGTTAATTGTTCTAACAAGATAAGACGTGTGGATCGTCAACAGAGAGCAAATTCGACGCGAGCATTCGAAGGAAGCACTCCATCGCTACTGTGAAGAATCCAGAATTAAACAAATGGGAGAATTCAGATCAATTCTCCTCTCTTTTGTAATCGGGAATTTAAATTATAATTAAGATCAAAAGAATACAAATCAAATTTCTTTCATTTTATTTACTAATCAATTTTCCACCAAACAAAACATGGCGACTTGTTGGGGACAAGCTTCTCTGACGAAGAAGTGGTGGCGCAATCCGATGTTCATCTTGCTGGAACGATCATCGAAACTCTCATTGTAGAGTTTGATCAAGCCAAGTATGAGGAAGCCCTCTCCTATGGATCGCTTAGCCCCAAGGCTAGGCACAACACCCGCAAGATCTCCAAAGAGATCACAACTACTGCTGAAATGCCAAAAAAGCCCTTTCCTTTGGCCAAGATTCATCAAACAACCCCTATTCTAAAGAAGCGGGCTTAGCCTCTGCCAAACTTGTTCGACAAGTTGAAAATCCCACGTTCGGATCAACATGACGTGTTACGGGTCACAAAAGGCCCATGGAAGAGGCGACTTGCTATCCGCTTGGTTAATGATCAAAAGTAAGCCAAGGGGATTACTTCAGATGATGAACGTTCAGCAATCGTCGAATCTCAATCCTCAAGCTCTGTCGTGACACGAGAGGCTCCCGTTTACATGACTGGAGGCCCCGACGACTTAGCAAAGAGAGTCGACGAGCATCAGGTCATGCTTCAAGCACAGCAAGAGACCCTTCTTCAGATGAAGGATATGTTAGCCCAGCTCCTTGCAGAAAAAGGCCAAAAACCTGAATCTTCCCAGAGGACCATTCCAAAGGGAAAACAGAAGGCGCACGAGAATTCAGATCGTGAAACTCACAATCCGGAATCCTCTTCTGAAAACGAAAAGGAGATGGAAAGAGAGCTACATCCTCAGTCATCTAAAGTGGATGAGCTAGAAGCCCGCCTCAATGCAATCGCCAACAGAAGTGAGCTTCGTGAGGAGAAGGAGTAGTACGGTCTTATCCTACTGAATGAGATACAGCTCCCTACCCACCAAAATTTAAGGCCCCAACTCTGCAGCCTTTCGACGGTACAGGATCGCCAAACCAACACATTTACTACTTCAAGTCGCAGACTAGAGACGTGGTGGTAAATGATTCTATCTTGACTCGTTTGTTCATCGGCACTCTTAAAGGCGTTGCTTTCGAGTGGTTTATGAAACTGCCTGTTGGATCTATTCAAAAATGGGCAGATCTGGAAAGGCTCTTCTTAGCCAGGTTTTTCGAAGATAATACAGAGGTGTCTGTCCCAACCCTTCTTGCTACCAAGCAAAGGTGTTGGCCTTCTTATTTTGATGATGATTTATAAATAATTTATATCTAATATTGTTTGTCTAGTGTTTGTGTTTTATATTTATTCTAGGCAAACAATATGTTGGAGGTTGGATGGATTGCACCATAATGATCATATCTAATGGAGGTTGGGGGAATAGTGGTTGAAGCCTTGCAATTCAAGTTAAAGATTCAAGTTCAAGCTTCATCCGCGAGTGTACCAAGATAGAGCTTCGTTGAAGATCACAAGCTTGGGTATATTTAGTTTAGGTTTATATTATGTGTGTTAGTACTTTAAGCTCAATCATATACACACATACACGTTTTGGTTTTGTATATATATAGTTATATATATACATATATGTTTTGGTTTGATAGGTTTCATGTTTAACTATGAAACAATTGAATACAATTGGAAAACATATTTTTGTTTCATACTTATATGCATTTATATGATTTCATCAATATCAATTTTATTTAGTTCCATGAAATCATGGTTTAGTGTATTATATGTGTATTTTGATAAAATACTATATTCATTGTTTATAGACTTCATAACAATAGTTTACATCTTCTATTAAGTCTACAAAATTATTTTGTATTGTTTCAAAACATGGTTTAGCCAAAATATTAAAATTCATATGTTTACATTTTCATGTTTTGAACTATTTTATAACATGGTATAGCATGTTTATTATCATGTCTACAATCATTCCCCAAAGTTTTATATTTTTGGAATTTATTTGATATTTTTAAACATGGTTTTAAAATCAGAAAATCAACTTTCAAACCTGTTTTCTCATATGTCAGTTTACGGTCGACCGTCACGGTCGATCGCGCCTTTGATTTTTCCTACGGAGCCATCAGCAACTTTCGCGGTCGACCGCCGCGGTCGACCGCCACGGTCTACCGTCAGCTCGAAAATTCCCACAGTCGACCGCCAAAGTTTCTGGAAATTTTCTAAGTTTTGAAAGTGGCTCGTGGTCGACCGTGAGATTTTCACGGTCGACCGCCATTCACTCCAACGACTATTTTTGTACAGAATCTGATTTCCAATTCTGTGAGCTTTTTGGTCTTTTGTTTGGAGTTTTTGGCTGAGGTTTTGGGAGGCTATAAATACCCCATTGATCTCAGTTCTCATTGCCATCCAAGAAATGTTTTAACAAAGTTTCAACAAGGGTTTAAGTGTTGTTTAAGTTTGTTTAAGAAGCTTTTAAGCATTTGAGAGTTTGAGTTTGTGCAATCAATTTCACAAGCTCTTGAGGAGATCATCTATTGGTGTTTGAACATCTAACTCTTCTCCTTT